CCAGCGCGCATCATTACTTCACTTCCTGGCAGCAGCGTGGTCCCTAAATAACAAAAGCGGTCGGCTGCCAGCCTTTTGTCTGCGGCCGGTGAGCGGCCTCCCCGGGGACAACCGGGGACTGGTGAGGCGGCCCGGAGGCTTCCCTGACAGTGGACACCATGTTGGGTCCAGAACTTCTCCGCGGGCTGCGAGCCGTCCGAGCCCGCGGAGGAGGCGCTAGCCGCCGGCTAACAGGTACTCTTCAGGGGGAACTTACAGATGTGAGGAGCGGTCTCATCTGTTCGCGCTCTTCCTCCATTTCCAGCGCGGGCTCCTCTTCCTTTCTCCCGCGACCTGCTGGATCATCCGAGTTTAGAGTGTAGCCGCCGGCTCCCGGTCCTTCTCCGCCGCCTTCTTCTTTATTCTTAACGCTTCTCCGCCGCCACTACTTTACGCCTGCCTGGAATATATTAACTCCAGCTGTAAGCCCCGCCCTTTTTTGATTGGCAGTTCCGCTTTCCAATGACGTGGCGACGGTGGTTTTACTACCACCAATCGGCGAGCGGGAGCGCGCAGTGGGCGGAGTCGTGTCGGTAACAAAGCGTGAGCGTTCCCTTCAGTTTGTTGGTTTTACCGAAAACTTTCCGATGAATCCGGTAAAAACAAGCAGCGATGAAAGCGGACGAGTCCGCTCAGTTTTACCTTCATTTAAACCGGTAATCGGAAAGTCTCAGAGGGAAAGCCTGCTCTGTGCACCCGCTGTACCTCCGACCTGCCGAAATGATAAATACTATTAAATATAAAACACGATATCAATGACAGTATAACAGAATTATAAATAATAACAACACATAAAACTGCAGCTGACATGTAATAACAGTTCAGTGTCGTCATACAGAGCACAGCAGACCTCTGCTGATGAATATTAATATTTCCTATACTTTATTAGCGGGGTTTTTGAGCTGTGGTCATTCAACCGTTGTCGGAGGGAAAGGTCTGCTTGTTCTTCCTGACTCTGATTTAACCAATATTAATATTTATAAACGCTGCTCACTGCTGCGCATGTATGCATGAATGTATGCATGAATGTATGCATGAATGTATGCATGCATATTGTTTAAAGCAGATTCTGACAGAAGCGTTTAAAGATGTTTTCAGAGGAATCAGGAAACTCCAAAGAGCTCCCATAAAAACGTCAACATCCAGCTGTGTCTCAATCAAAGGCTGTTTTTGTGCGTCAGGTCTGTGTTTGCATAAAGTCTGCTCTCATACTCTGTTATTTCACATTTTCAGTAACAACAAAAAAAAAATCTAGTTTGTAATAAGAAGGACAAACAAGTCAAATTCATTAATCAGGTTTTTTTATAGTGTAAATTAATTTGATATCTTCTTCTTGTATCTTCTGCTCTTGTGTCTTTGTCTTTTAGTTCCCCATAAACATGATGGGCATGATCTACAGAGGAGCACCTCATCACACAACGATAGTCAGCTCTGATATTCAGGCACAATCATTCAAAATGTTTCAGACAGGGAAGACAAATAAAATTACTACACAAAAACATTAAATTGTAAAATAATATAAATTACATGTTTGAGTCTCTTAATTAATCTGTAGAACGTGCAAACAAACTGGTGATTTCCTGCTTGTACGTATCACAGAGTGAGAAATAAAAGACGCTTCGAATCTTGAAAATTCAACAAAGCTTTGCAGGCTCTTCATCACTTGATGGATTCAGACCTGCAGCTCGTTTGATTCACACGTTTACCTAATAAACACACAGATGCAGATTCAGACCGAGGTCATGGTGAGGTCGCCCAGCTCTGTGCACTCGAGCTTTCATGCCTGACTGAAGTGAGTTTGTCGGGGTGGTGAGTGCCATCAGAGGAACATGCTAGAAAACTGCACCTGCGCAACAAAACAGTGAGACTTTATGGTCACAACCAGAAACGTTTGGATGTTTGGAGAAAAGTGAAGAAAAGCTCCTCTACTGTGAAGCTTGGAGGCGCAGACGTGATGGAAGCTGTATGTAGCCCATTATCAGAAAACACTGATGGGCTGTCAGACAACAGGCCAGGTGGAGCCATGAGGTCCTCCAGTCTCAGTCTTCTGACCTCAGCATCAGTTTGAGTCGTTCTCAGGAAGAAGACGGTGTGAGGAAATACAGAGCCATCCACAGCTGTTACAAAAACCTGTCTTTGATGCTAAAGGGCAGCGCCCTGTATGAAGACCTGAGGGTGTGTACACTTATAAACA